ATTTCTTTTTGCTTATATAAATCACCTTGTTTTTCTGATCACCACTGCAAAAAAAATTATTGTTTTAGCTATTTTCATTTATTTTCTATGAATTTTCAAAGTTCTGATATTTGCCTTTTCCATGGCCATGACTGAGGAATCACGAAGAATGGGGCAAGTTGGCCTAACATCATCAAAGGACCAACAATGTTTCACTTCTGAGAAAAATACATGTATATGCGAACATGCGATAGTGTGAATCAAAATCTTTGCAGAATGTAAGGAAGATGTGTTGTTAGAGGGAGTAGTAGTACAGCATGCTTAGGAGAGAGCAATCCTCTTCATTCAATTTTTCTATCTCGATGACTCTCAACCTGGAGCAAAAAAAGACCAAGGATGTGGACTGATCTGTGCGAAGCTAAAGAGGGAACCATCAAGGAGTTCTTTGATCTCCGGTTCGCCACTACTGTAAAAACCTAGAGATTTTCATGGCCTGTACAGTATATTCTTCTCTAGCTTTTAGTGGAAAGCTTGACATTGTCAAGGTACTGCATAAGACGCGAATTTGGAATAAGCTGGGAGCCATCTGACTATTCCAAACTAAAACGATCCCCTGAGTCCCAGACTAGAATAATGGAAACCACAGAGTGATGATGAGAAAACTAAACAGCAAATTAAACACATTGCATTTTTTGTACTCAAAATAGAGACCTTTCTAAACGATAAATATATATACATGCATAGAGTATACAACGAAAGTTAAACAAACGATTTCTTTTTTTTTAATAAAATTATTTATTTCATGCACAACAAATTACTTTACAATAAGGTACTAAAAATACTAACAAAACGATACTAATGCTACTAAGAACAATACTAATACTGTGATACAATACAATTACTTACAAATTGATAAATTTAATTATAAGTTACTTACAAATGGATAGTAACAGTATGTACATTTGCACAGCTAGCCTCCAATAATTAATTGTTTAAAAAGTTGGACCATTTTATTTAAGAAAGTAGTTTATTTGTCATAATCGCAATATATTTTTCTAGTTCAATTTTTTCGTTAACAAGGGTTACAAAATCTGTGAATTGGGGTCTTTTTTCATCATGTACTGTGTTAATGTAAAGAAAATATTTTCCAATTATGATCAAGTGATTTAGGGTTAAACTGGATGATGTGTATCTTAAAACGCCATATAGTTTCGTTTTGCCCCAAAGCAATGTTTCCTCCGCATGTAGCGTTGTACCACTTTGTAAATTTATTCCAAATTAAAGGATTTAGCAATTGGACATTCCACAAATAAATGGAGTGGTGTTTGATCAATGTCATGGCAACGATTTAGATTTGACTCTAGAGCTACTGACGGAGATTGCCGAGCCGAAAGAAGAATGCGCTTGTCAGTCAACCAAAATGCAAACTAATAAGTCAAGAACTCCCAGGTTATTAGCTTATGTAAAATAGACTTTTCAAAATAACAGTGTAGTAGAAATGTATTCATTTAACTGATACTATACTGCACCTTTTTTCAAGACCTCAATTGTCGAAGGATTTTCCACAATTAACTAGTACAAAATTTGCAGATTTGTGTAGCTTGCGATGTTTATGTTGGTACACAGTAAATTAGAGGGTATTCTGCTTTTGTATGTAATTTAAATTAAAACTTTTATCAAATTAAACCGTTAACTTCTAGGCCTTAAGAAGGTGCCCCTTGGGTTCGTTTGGGTTCAAACATAACATTTTTCAAAAATTCTAAGTCAATTTGGAGACATTTTTTAGCTTATTACCATTTTTTATTTTCCTCCTTAACTTTAATTACTAATTTTTACCTCCCCCCTTCTTTACTAACCACTCCGTGCAAATCTTTCCTTTATATTATTATTACTATTATTATTATTATTATTACTATTACTATTACTATTACTATTACTATTACTATTACTATTACTATTACTATTACTATTACTATTACTATTACTATTACTATTACTATTACTATTACTTTTACTTTTACTTTTACTATTACTATTGCTATTGCTATTGCTATTGCTATGATTGTTATTGTTATTATGATTATTTTTGCACCATCTTGTTGTAGACATGGCTTCATTGCAGTTTGTTTGTCCCTCAAAGTTAATGCACACTTTAACATCTAACAATTTTGACCTGACGTTATTTTTTATTATTATTTTCAAATTTTTGCTCACAACAATTATTGTACATACACCCACTTCCGGAAATAATACCCATTGTTTCAGTGGAGATTTGGGAATCCTTTTATTAGGCGGTCCCAAAATTTTACATCTGAAATGCCACAAAGGTTGCTAGCTATATATATCTACTGCTCTAAAGGGTTTTTTTAGACAAAAAGTACATGTATCAATAATTCCTTTTGGTTAAATTCAAAGGTTCCTCTGGTCATGGCAGGCCACCTTCATGGCTGGAACACAAGCAGTTGCCTTTTCCTGCAGTCCCTCAGACTCCAGCTCAAACTTATCAGACAAGTCACCCTCAGAGTGAGTGGGAGAAAGTTTTTTTTTTTTTAAATTATGGATTCAATTTTCTGTTGCAAACTCTCTATCATAGTTTAATTAAATTGAGTACAGAGCTCCAAGAGGTTGGAGATCTGTACTGATAGAAGATTGCCATGTCACCAAATCCTTTGAAGTATGTGTACAATGTAGGTGATGCCAATGTCTGTTTGTTATTTTAGGTAACTGTCACAGGGTCTTTATTAATTTCATAATTCAATTACATTGTACAAGCCTTACTGGCTCACAGATAGCAAAGCTACATGTATTCTGGGCGAGCTACTAAAATTAATACTTTAACAGTATCATACAATGTATAGTTTACTGAAAAGAGAGAATAAAAGAGAAAAAAAGGAAATTTGAGTACATAAATAAAAATACACCAAAATATTATACATAACACCTAATATAGAAATTAAGTAGTGAGATATGGTTGACATAAGACAGCAGAGCGAGTTCACAATAATAATCGAGAACTGCATTAATAACTAGATTATGAGCTCGAGATTTCTATGAATTGATAGTTGATGAGGCCGAAGACCAAATTGGTTATCACCTCATAGAAATTGAGAGCACATAAATTGTTTTAACTGAATTTCCACTTCTGTTGAAATTCTCTTTCACCATTCAATGGGGCAGCAATATATTTTTCTGTCTTGATTTTATCCTGCACTAATGAGATGAAGTCGCTGAAAATGAACTTAGTATTACTTAGCACGTTGATATATAGAAAATATTTGCCAAGCATTATGAGGTGGTTGAGGGTCAAACAGTGAGTACAGGGACGAGTAATTCCAAATAATACCTCTGGCTCGGAGAGAAGTAAACTCACATTACTTACAGTAGAATACCAACTTTGGAATTTGTATCAAAAGGAAGACGCTCGCGGGCAGTAAAAAAGCAAATAACATATGTTTGGACTATACTAATAGTCTACTATGGTATACTAATTAGTAATTAGATTATGAGCTCAAGATTTCTATGAGTTGATAGTCGATGGGGCGGAAGGCCAAATCATGTGGACGCACCATCATTTTTTTTCACTAATTTCAAAAGTCAAGAAAATAGTCAAGAAAACATTAAATAAATGTTTTTCTGTTAGTCTTGTCAGGAATTTATTTATCCATTCGCATCAAAATTTTCCTTTAAAACTTTGTTTAAACGAAAAAAAACATCGCCATCTCGTAGGCAACTTCTGGCCACTGCACTCCAATGGCTGATAGTACATGTATACGAATATGTATACGAATAGCTCAGCCAATCAGATTGCAGCATTTGCATTAGTATACTAGTAGAATTCTACTAATACTAATTAAAGAGTGAGCACTAATTAAAGAGTGAGAGATACTTAGAAATTTCAATATAGGACATGAACATTTATCTCGTCATTTTTGAGAATTTGCAAGAGTATTTTACTCAACTATCGTTTGAAGGGTGCCTTCCTTAATTCAGGGAGTTCTATGGGGATACCATGATCCATATTTTTACACCATTTCTGGCACAGAAAAATAACTGATGAGTTATTCACGATTGTTTCACGTTAAAATTACTAGCTGCAGAATGTCTGCAATTAAAAACAATCAAAACCCTTTGATCAAACAGGCAATGTGAAAATTATTTGCTGTGATAACTCTTTTC